TGTGTGTGTGTGTGTATGTTCCCCAAAGAGAAGATTGCACTAAACCAGTCAAGAACACTCACATGAACTTTTTCCCACAGTAAAATTTAGTTAGGTATATTCATTAAAGGCTATATATTTTTTATTTTTTATTTTGTTATTTACATTTGGAAAATAAGACAAAAGAACCCCATCTTTCAAGATCCATTGTTTTTTGCTGGTATCCAAGAAACAGTAGATATGGCTAAATTTTGCATGGAGATATGGAGGCAAACAAGGCATTATATATATATATATATATATATATATATATATTTTTAGGTCATTGGATTAGAAATTAAATGTATATCGGTTTAATTAGTAAGATTTTCATAAATATGGGGACCCTTTAAACTGAAAAAAATACATGAATTTTGTAAAAAAATTTAATGCAGTAATAATATATTTGTAGATATTGTTATTAAAATAAAATTAAAAAACAGAATATATATTAATGGAAGTGGGCTTACTGTATCTATCACCCAAGATATATATGCATCCTAGTGATAAGAGGGAAAAATGTTATTTTATTCATGGTGTTTTATATTTTTAATAATAAATATTATTATATTATTATTAATAACATATTTAATGATCCATCATATCGTTTAGCTTGTCGGTTCTCCTGATTAGGGGTCTTTAATTTCCATGTGTAATTAGCAAACCCTAGGGAACTTTTGTCCCCAAGATTAGTGGAATATTAAACTACATTAACTGTAATTAATTTAAAATTTTAATTAATTACTTTATAGTAGTATAATTTAGAGGTGCAATTATGGATAAATGCATTTTGTCTTGATTCTGAATGGGACTTGGTCTAGGCTACTATCATAGGGTTATGGCCTAGATAGTATGTTGATTTAATTTAATTTAATTTAATTTTTTTTGTTATCCTAAATGGTTGGTTATGATTGGCTTTTAGAAGTTTGACTGTGTGGAATTTTCATAAGCCACGTATCCAATATTACTATTAAATTAGTATAATATCTAGTGTGAAAGAGTCAAAATAAATAATAATAATAATAATAATAATAAGACCAATTACTAGCACAATTAATGTAAGGTCTAACTACGAAAAAAACTCTCATTATATATAATTACGAGTATAACCCTGAAACTAACCGCATGCAAAAAACTCGAATATGACTTAGGTGGTGTTTGCAAATGCTTTTTGAAAGTGATTATGCGGTTTTTTTTGCTCATAATCTGTTTTTAGGTGTTTGCAAAATCAACTTTTGCTTTTGCTTCTCTTAAAATAATCTGCTTTAAGCTATTTTTTAAAAGCACCCCTAACCCTGCTTTTTCAATTTTAATTCATTTTCCGAAATATTTGCAAACACCCCCAACTTTTAGAAATAAGCACTTAAAGCTAACTTAAATCACAATCACTAACTTCTACTTTTAAATAATCATTTGCAAACACCACCTTAATAATTTATCTAAAATATCCATGCATTAAAATTATTAGATGACAGAGAAAAAAATTGTCATAAATTCAATTTTATGATATTCTTACATTTGGCCTATCGTGCAATATAAAACTTACGATACACAAAAACTTGTTAACATTTTGAAAAAAAAAATCTTGAAAAAAGGGTTTAAGAGTTAAAATTATATAAAAAAAATTTACAAACCTTACAATTAGACTTAAGGAATTTGCTAAAAACCACTCATAATTGATGAAACTGCATATCTCCAATAATCGAATATTTAAGAACAATGCTAATGAACCCTAATAATAAATATGTTTTGCATCATTAATAATATAACATGAAAGGTCAAATCATAATCTCTATGTATAAGCAGCTGTTACGCACTAATTTGATTCTCCCATTTATTTGATTGATTGCCTTATCACATTTTTCTGGTCTGCGGAGCGAATGATTAATCTAGATAATAGTTCTCCAAATATTGTGTAATTATTTGTTAGTAGCTAAGTCTAATTAAATTGGTTTAATTCCACTTTGCACCCTTAAAACCTAATATTTTAGGACTTTGCATCCTTCAAAAAAAATTAATAGCGTTTCCCACCAGCCTTTGAACACGGTGAATCATTCAAAATGCACCACGGATTGAATATTTTAAAAAAAATAATGATATTTTGTCGTTTTTTTTTAATTTATTTTTCGGGTGCAAAATAATAAATTAAATTGTTATTTACTTCAATCACCAACCTAATTTTGAACATAAAAAGTGCGAAAAAAAAAACCAAGAATCACAAAATATCAGTGGTTTTATTGTTATTTTACCTTCATTAGTGAAAATATTTAGTATAAATCAGTGGAAGAAAATATAATTTTGAAATAACATGATAATGAAATAGCTAACTGATTTTTAATTTTTTTCAAAGTACAATATTTTTTGTTGATAAAATGTTAAATCACCTTCACTAACTTTAAATATTCATTCGGGTTGCATTACGCATAATTCATTGTATTTCGCGGATAGAAAGTGCAGAAAAACCCATATTTGAGGGGTGCAAAGTAAAATTAAGCCAATTAAATTGACTAGTCTGTAAATATTCAGGGTTGGTTGTATTGCAAACGTGTCATACCTGACGTCATTACATCTATTTAGTTTCCTTGATTTCAGAGCTACTCACCTCTTTATAAAAACAACAAAAATAATTATAAATTTCATACATAAAAATAAAGATAATTTAATTTTCCCTACATAAACAGTACCATTATATTATATTAAAAGTTGAATTTCATGTATTTTCTAAGCTCTAAATGTAATATTTTACGAATTATTTTTAGTATAGGATTTATTTTAATAATAATATATTTCATCCCAGTTTGCTAATAGGCTGTCCTTTTCATAAACTTTTGCCCCTTCTCTCTACAAACAGTACTTACAAAAAATAACAAAAAACAATAAAAAAATAAAATAAAATAAAAATAGAAATGCCAAAAAAAAAATAAATAAATGTAGGTTGTCTGTCTAAAAAAAAATGGGTACGAGAATCCCTCTGAAACCACTCATCAGCCCAGAAACTTACAGTTTGAGCTGACCAATCAGGATTGACATAAAGCCCCTTCTCGTGGGCCCCATTTTCTCTGCTACACCCCACGTGGGCTGTTCATTTAATGTCGGCCCATTTTCAACCCTGGAAGAAATACACCACTTAGTCCGAGTGATTCGCGGAGATCCTGCCACGTGGATCCATCCACGCCCTTTAATTTTGACGTTGTCTGAGTTGACGTGGACCATACACCCCATTGCCAAGTCTAATCTAGCTCAGTAGGGACTCTGTACTAGATACAATTTTTTTTTTCCCTTATTATTTCTTCACTAGTTTACTGGAAATAAAATAAAATAAAATAGAATAGAATTATAAAATAATAAAATATTGATATGTTAAGTTAAATTTAAGCCCTAATAATTCTATTAATTAATTGTCGGTCCAGAATAAATCATATTATTCATTTTTTTTTTGAAATGTTATTTATTAATGGACCTCCAAGAAAGCCCACTACAATTTTGTTTGATTTGTATTCTAAAAATTATTAACCCACCCATGCTATTTATTTAAATGATTTTGTAAATATTATACGAGATTCGAGCCTTACCAGCCCTGAAAATCGGGGCGAGGACATACCTATCACCACCCCCGTCGCCTATTTTTTGCCTTCTCCAGGTAATCCGAACCGTCATTAATATCTAATCGGTGGATAGCATGTTCGCACGTTTCCTTAGACTCTCCCCTTTTACCAACTGTGACTAGTCATTCGGGCAATACATGCTGGTGTCAGGACATTTTGTTGCACCGGTGTGGATGCGAGACGCGCTAGTCAGTGTCATTTAATGCACCTCTCCGACTTGTTAGGGTCATAACCGCCTTTAGTCAGAGCCATCGTGGCGATTCCCCTAAGACCATTTGTTTGCTCGGTCCGCGGCGGCTCCTCCCTTTCGCTCAGACACATCGACGAGGAGTCGTGTTTGGCTTGGGCTGCTTTCTAGGCGGCACACCTTAGTGGGCCTTGGCGGCTTTCGTTCGTTGGGCCATATCTTTGAGTGGGTCTTGGCGGGCCTCGTCTACTCGTCCGCATTCCACTTCGGATCAATATGAATGTATTTATGTAGCATAAAAAAATTAAGAAGACTTCTTTTTTTTTTTTATTTCTTTCCTTTTAAATTGGTTAGACTAATGATACTATCTGGATTTATTAGTTTTGTCTGAGGCCCATTTAATAGGCTACAATTGAAGTTGGGCCCAAATATATTTGTAAAAGGCCTTTGTGAATGTCGGTATCAGTCCAGCTCAGATAAAAGCTCGCCGACACTATTTATTAATTAATTAATTAATTATATATATTCACAAGGTTAAAACCGTCTTTCTCGCTAAGAGCGCGTGACACCCACCATTACTTCATCTGAAATGATTTGTGCAGGCCAAAATTAAACATTCAGGCACATTTTTTACCATTCTTCAAAAATCAAAAAGTAAAAAAACTCAAAAACTCTCTCAACCTTTCGATTTTCTTTCGCAAAGCCCGTGCAAATCGTAAACAGATCGGAGGTAATTTTTACGTTTTTACGATCCTCTTGTTATGTAGATTACGAATCCGGAAAAAAAAAACGAAAAAAATCACACGTTGGCCTGCTCGTGTGAATTTACACGAGCGCATCCATTGTGCTCGTGTAAATCCACACGAGTAGGCCTTTTTATTTTTTTTTTTTTTTTAATTGCTCGTGTAAAAACACACGAGCAATTAAAAAAAAAAAAAAAATAAAAAGGCCTACTCGTGTGGATTTACACGAGCACAATGGATGCGCTCGTGTAAATTCACACGAGCAGGCCAACGTGTGATTTTTTTCGTTTTTTTTTTCCGGATTCGTAATCTACATAACAAGAGGATCGTAAAAACGTAAAAATAACCTCCCATCTGTTTACAATTTGCACGGGCTTTGCCAAAGAAAATCGAAAGGTTGAGAGAGTTTTTGAGTTTTTTTACTTTTTGATTTTAG